GTGTGTGTGTGTGTATGTGTGTGTGTGTGTGTACAGGAGCACCAGGGTGTGTAGGAAGGTCTGTCTGCAAGCTGAGCGGTTATTCTGGAGAATGGAGAGGAGGGGCCACATTCCTGTAGGAACGGAGATAGCTGCTTCCCATCACCTGTCCTAAGCCCAAGCCAGCCGGGATGGTGCTGGCTGTCCCCGGAGCAAGTGCATCCGAGTTCATCTGTGAGCTAAGTCACCGTGACACATAATGGGGCGCTCTGCTCCACCGTGGCCCCCTGGGTTTTCTCAGAGCTGGAGAGAAGGAGGGGCTGGTTCCCTCTGCTGCCAGCCACCTGGGGTGTTGCTCTCTCTAAGTGAGACTCCATCCCTACCTCCACACTCCCCTCCCCAGGGCACTGCCAGCTACAGGGGAGGGGGTGGTCAGTCCTTTCCACTCAGCACTCGGTGCCCCTAGCCCAACTGTGACTCTGGCACCAGCCATCTCCCTTAGAAATTATGAACTCCTTGGGGGCTGCCAAGCCTAGGTCTCAGGGCAGTGGGGCTGGGGAGAGGGGTTCCCAGCCAGCTGAATGAAGTGAAGTCTTCCAGGTCCGCCCAGAGCTGCAGCCAGAGTTCCAGCAACTGGCCAACACCAGGGTTTGGGCCCCCTGACTGGGCACCTTGGGCCCGAGGTCGAAGCAGTAGTCCCTGGTGGGAAAACTGAAATGGAACTGTTGACCAGAGTGCAGGCCAGCTGGCTGAGCTGACCGTCAGCTATGGCAATGTGCCCAGGAACCTGAGGGTGGCCAAATAGGTACACCCCTGCCTGCCAGGACGCCAGATACCTCCTCCCCAGGTGTCTCAATGGCACCTGGAGCAGGACTTTGGGTGCTGAGGAGCAGGCAGACATTGGGTTGAAGGGGAAGCAGCTCCGACTGGTGGCCCCAGGTGGCATGGTAGTGGCAGGTGTCTCCTGGGCCCGTTTCTGAGCATGCCATGTGCAGCCAGTGCCTGACTTTCACTCCCCGACCCCCAGGGCTCCTGTCTGAGCTTCAGTCTGGGCACTCTAGGGTGCCAAGTGACCAGCCCAAGGTCACACAGCTTCAGACACAGACAGGTCATGGGAGCTGCACCCCTCTGTCTCCCTCGAGACTGGCAGGCAGTAAGAGGGCCATGGACTTGAGGTCCCAGAGGCTGCCAGCCAGACCCCCAGAGGAGGTCTGGCCCCACACCCCTGACCCCACACCCGCTCCTCGAGCCCTGATTCCCAGCACTCGACTGCATCCCTGGCTTCCCAGCTACGGGGAGTCCGTCTCCCAGCCTTTGGCAGCGCCGGACAATTAACAGTGAGAGTAATTGCTGCTGCCGAGCCAGCGGCTCACTCTGCTGATACATGGGGAAGGTCAGGTACCGACGTTGAGCTGAGCGTTAGCGCCAGCCAGCTGCAGTGGGGACAGGGACCAAGAGAGCGAGGAGGAGCCTCCGGCTCAGGGCAGCCTGCACCCCATGCCCAGCAGGACTCTGGGGCCCCCTTGGGCCTTGCTGAAAACTTGGGATGCCAGGTTAAGCTGGTCTCCGTGCCTGGGCACATCAGGCCAGCTGGAGCTCGGTCCAGGCCTCCAACCTGATGACACAGGCATGCTGGTCAGTCTGGCTGGGTGGGGGGTTGGGGGGGTGTGCTCAGAGTGGACAAACTAGAGCAGGGAAACCCCAAGGGAGCAGGATGGGATGGGCACTGGCCCGGTGCTGACCCAATGTGTCTCCTGCCCCAGACAGAGCTGTGACACTGCCCCCTCACGGCTAACGTTCCTGCCCATCATGGCGAGCCCCACGCTGAGCCCCGACTCCTCATCCCATGAGGCCCTATCGGCCCCCACGTGCTCCCCCACCTCCGACTCTGAGAACCTCAGCCCCGATGAGCTGGAGCTGCTGGCCAAACTCGAAGAGCAGAACCGGTGAGCTGAAGCTGGGGCCTGGGGAGAGGTGCCATCCATTGGCCTGGGTGCCCCACTCACTCCCCTGGGGCTCGGCCAGGCCCGGGGCACAGAGCCCCTACCATGCAGATGAGACGAGTAAAGGTCTGGCCCTTCTTTATGCATTCCCTGCTAACCAGAGAGCTCAAGTCTACTCACTACGTCCCCCTAGAAGCGCCTCGTAAGAAAGGCCTGGTGATCTGCTTCCTAAGTACCCCATGGGGCGCAGGAGCCAGGGTGGGTGCCCGGTCACCTGGTGTGACTTTTTCCGGGAGACGGGCTATGGTGGCCTCTAGGGGGCCTCAGTGCATTCATCTCAGGCCCTGCCCCTTGCTTGCTGGCCGCTCACCAGGTGCCTCCTCTGTAAAATGCCGGTTACCACAAAGCCGGGGTGCACAGTCAGGTGAGCGGATGTGCCCAGTGCCCCGCCCAGACCAGACAGGTGAGAAAATGGCAGCTCAGAAAGGCAAGGTGATGGGCCACGGTCACACAGCGAAGACTGCCCAGCCCCACAGCACAAGTGGCTCAGACCCCCTCCTCCACACCCCCAGGACCCGGCTGGAGGTGCTGGACTCCCCTCAGCCGGTGCAGGGGCAGGGGTTGTGTCCTGCACACACACAAGCACGCTTGCACGCACACTGCTCCGACGACCGCCCTTCCCGCCCAGGCTCCTGGAGGCCGACTCCAAGTCCATGCGCTCCATGAGCGGCTCCCGGCGCAACAGCGGCTCCTCGTTGGTGTCCAGCTCCTCCGCCTCCTCCAACCTGAGCCACCTGGAGGAGGACACGTGGATCCTGTGGGGCCGCATCGCCAACGAGTGGGAGGAGTGGCGGCGCCGTAAGGAGAAGCTGCTCAAGGTGAGGGCAGGGTAGCAGGGCAGGAAGCACCAGGTGACCACGCCCCAAGAAGGTGAAGTTGGGGAGTGGGGCAGGCGGAAATACTCGGGGACCTCCAGGGCGATTCACACAGAGGTGGAACAGTGGTTAAGGTGCTCAGCTACCAACCCAAAGGCTGAAGGTTTGAGGCCACCGAGAGGCGCCTTTGAAGAAAGGGCTGGCGGTCTCCTTCAGTGGAAACTCCGCCCCGAGACTCCCGCGGAGCTCAGCTCCACACCGAAACACATCTGGGGCGTAGGGTAGGATTGACACCACGGTGCCCCGTGTTGTCGGGGTGGGAAGGCTGCACAGGCAGGCGACTGAGCACCGAGGCCCGCATCTCGGAGCTCTTTATCTGCAGGATGGTGGCCCACAGGTGCCTGTGGGTGGCTGGGGTGGGATGGGAAGGCCCGCTGGCCTGGGACCTGGACGAGGTCCAGTCCGGCTGCCCACTGCCTCCCCTGCCCCCACTCCCGCAGGAACTGATCCGCAAGGGCATCCCACACCACTTCCGGGCCATCGTGTGGCAGCTGCTGTGTAGCGCTACCGACATGCCAGTCAAGCACCAGTACTCAGAGCTGCTGAAGATGTCATCGCCCTGCGAGAAGCTGATCCGCAGGGACATTGCACGCACCTACCCGGAACACGAGTTCTTCAAGGGCCAGGACAGCCTGGGCCAGGAGGTCCTCTTCAACGTCATGAAGGTGAGCCCTGCCGCCGCCGCCCCTCCCCATGCCGCAGCCGCTGCTGCTGCTGCGCCCACCGCCCAGACTGCCCTCACCACCTCCTTCCCTTGCAGGCATACTCCCTGGTGGACCGCGAGGTGGGCTACTGCCAGGGCAGCGCTTTCATCGTGGGCCTCCTCCTCATGCAGGTGAGTGGCGACAGAGTGGTCCCAACACCCAGTAGCCTCCCAGGGACCTTCTCTGCCCCATCTTATCCCAGCCAAGCCCCAGGCAGGTGTAACAAAGGGACTGGACCCCCTGTTCTGTCTGGGGCCTGGCCACGCTTCCCCGGGGGCTGGACCAGGGTGTGGTCAGCCAGCATCACATGGGTAGGGGGCTAGGGTTTTCCTCCAGAGCAGGGAGGGGAGAAAGGAGACAGCAGGGAACAGCTAGGAAGGGGCTGAGCACCGAGGCCCGCAGCTGCCATGCCTGGCTTCTAGCCCCAGCTCTGCCATGCCCTGCCCCGCTGGCCCCGGGTTCTCCTTCCGTGATGCTGAGGGTGCCCCCATGAGCAGCCAGGAGAGAATGCAGGCGGCACGCCGTCAGCATCCACTAAAAGTCAATGGAACAGACTCTGGCGGGAGCCGTGAGTGGGGCAGGGAGCATGCGCGCTGCCCAGGCCCCTGCCTGACACCCCCTCATCCCTCCCCCCGCCCGCCAGATGCCAGAGGAGGAGGCCTTCTGCGTGTTCGTTCGGCTCATGCAGGAGTACCGGCTGCGAGAGCTCTTCAAACCCAGCATGGCCGAGCTGGGGCTCTGCATCTACCAGTTCGAGTACATGCTGCAGGTGAGCCCCTGGAGGGTTGGGCTGCCTGGCACAGAGGATGCTTCGGGGCCAGGCCAGGGACCAGCCGCCCACAAACAGGGTAGCGGAGGCCAACCCGTGCAGCAGGCTGATCCACGCCCTCCCCATCTGCTCTTGGTGTGTGGAGGGAGGGAGAGCAGGGTAGGCCTGCTACTGCTGATTAGGGGAAGCCTCTGGGGAGTTGCTTGAAAGGAGCAAACCCCCACAGGGCCCTGCTCCTGCTTGGCAGACAGGGCAGGCCCACACTCCAAACACACGCATGCACGTGCCCGTGGAGGGATACACACGTACACCTTCCAGCGTGCTCCAAAGGCTGGGTGTGCCTACACCCAGGCCTGTGACTACAACAGCACTGGGGTCCATGGGCAGTTCTAGCAAGCAGTGCCAGGGGCCCTCTGTCATCCCAGGACAGCCAGCCCAGCCCCAGGCTGCCCACAGGGCAGCATCGATGCCACCACGTTAACTGGTTCCCTTGATGAAGGATTTCCCTGTCCCACCCCACCTCCACCCAAGGCAGGCAGGCAGGCAGGCAAGGCCGAGGCCCAGCGCACACATCTCAGGGCACGGTGGGCACACCAGGTGCTTTGGGCTGGAGGTCACTCCCTGGGTGACCTGTGGTGAGGTACGCCACCATCCTGAGGCTCCAAACCTCCTCCCAGCTGGCCTTCAGATTCCTGAGCTGATAGCCTGGAGCTGATCCTCGGCCCATGCCCCTCAGACACACATGGAACTATTCTCTGGCAGTCAGGGAAGGCCCCCTGGAGATAGCGCTGCCCAGCACAGGCAGCTGGAGAGGACCCAGTGGGCATGACCACCAGCCCGGAGCCTCCTCACAGTGCTGCTCCATCTCCACCCACCCCCCACCCCCCCACCCGCCGCAGGAGCAGCTCCCCGACCTGAACACCCACTTCCGCTCCCAGAGCTTCCACACGTCCATGTACGCCTCGTCCTGGTTCCTCACACTTTTCCTGACCACTTTCCCACTGCCCGTGGCCACCCGGGTCTTTGATATCTTCATGTACGAGGTGAGGAGCCCCTCCGGAGGGCTGGGCCTGGGCGGGGTCCAGGGTGGTGGGGTGGCAGGAGGGGAGACATAGCGCCGCCCCACCTTTGCAGGGGCTGGAGGTCGTGTTCCGGGTGGGCCTGGCCCTGCTGCAGGTGAACCAGATGGAGCTGATGCAGCTAGACATGGAAGGGATGTCCCAGGTAGGCCAGTGGGGTGGGGCCGGGGGAGCAGCCATCCCCGCATGTCCCTGCTCTCTCTGACCAGCTCAGCCCTCTCTGGAGGACTCGGGCATCCAGAGCAGCAGGCTCCCCCTCGTCTTGGGGAGGCCCCACATACTCCGCCTGCCCCTGCCTGGGTACCTCAAAGCCAGAGCATCCCTTCTGATAAACAGGACCAGCTGAATCAGGGGACTGGGGGTGCAGCTTCTGCCTCAGCCCACCAGCTGGTGAGGGTGAAGGGTGAAAGGCCACGACAGCCCACACCTGCCCTGCCCACACACTGGGGGGCCAGGCCGCCTGCCTCTCGCTGTGGGCCCTGATCCCCCACCCCCCACCCCAACACCCTCCAGCTGGCACTTGGGGAAGAAGAGAATGCACAAAGCCCACGCTTGTGTCCACGGACACGAGCAGCCATTGTCCACAGCTGCCCGACGGCGCCAGATGGGCTTGGGGGGTGGTGGGGAGCCAGGCTGCCCCCCACCCGAGACAAGCTGCGGCCACCGCTGCTGGCACTTAACCCTTTGCCGAGGCTTAAGGAGCCGAGAGACCTCTCTGCAGGGGAGAAGTTCTTCCTCCCCAGGGGGCCCAGTGCCCACTGCCTGGGCTTCCCAGGCCTCCTTTTCTCCACCCACCTCCCCCAGAGAAGGTGCTGGGTGCTGACACCCTGGCCACGCACACTCACACAGTCCCCCATGAACACTGCCAAGCGCTCACGTGGGTCGAGGGCGGCACCCAGGCAGAGGGCCTCCCCTCCCACCTGGCACCCCCCCTCCCAGGAGGCAGAAGCCCTAGGGGCTCAGGGGCCCCCTCTCTCAGTGACTGCCTGTGTCCCCACAGTACTTCCAGAGGGTGATCCCCCACCAGTTTGACAGCTGCCCCGACAAGCTGATCCTCAAGGCCTATCAGGTCAAGTACAACCCCAAGAAGATGAAAAGGTGAGTGGGGGCCGGCAGCCGGGGGGCCGGGCATCCCACGGCCAGCGGGACAGTGACCGGCTCGGCCTCCCCCCGCAGGCTGGAGAAGGAGTATGCCGCCATGAAGAGCAAGGAGATGGAAGAGCAGATTGAGATCAAAGTGAGTCTGCACCAGGCGCCCCCCACCTGGGAGCCACCCTGCCCCTGCCCAGGGCCTGGCCATCCGGGCCCAAGGCAGCCCACGCTCCACTGCTGTCTCCAGGCAGCCAAGGGCCCCTGGGTGCAGCAGGGAGAATACTGAGATGTGTCCAGTGCCCCATTAGGGTGCTCCCCATAGCTTCTGTGGAGCTGGACTGGGGAAGAATGTTCCAGGCCCCGGGGACCCTGAGGCAGCAGCATGCTGTCAGCTCAGGAATGTGCAGAAGGCCAGGAGAGCAGGATCCCAGGGGCACCTGGCCAGGCCCTGCTAGTCTCCCTATGCACCCTACACACGCAGCACTGTGGAGGCCAGGAGCCCCTCTCCTTCCTTGGACTGTTATCGCTCCCCACATGACTGATTGCTCAGGCAACATGCGTGGATTGAGTAACTTGCTGTGTGCCAGAGTCAAGACAGGGGGCCAAGAGGAGGCCCAGCCCAGTGGGGGGGGATAGATAGAAAACAACTCCATACAGCCTGGCTCTGTCTGTCCTCTTCAATGGCGGCCGCACGAGGACTTGGGCTGGAGTCTGGCAGACCATGGACAGCCGTGTGACTTCACTGCTCTGTACCTCCTCTCCTGTTCCAATCATTGTAACTACCACCAACAGCATCCTCTCCAGCTTCCGAGAAAGGCAGAGGTGGCACCCAGATGAGGTTCAGGCCCATGATGCCCACACCGAAACCAGGAGGAGGGCATCATTGTCCACGGCATGTTTTTTCTAGCGGCAGCTTGATTTGATGTTGTTTGTTGTTGTTGTTGGGTGGTGTCGAGTAGGCTCTGACCCATAGTGACCCTCTGTACAACAGAGAGAAACACTGCCTGGTCTTGCCCCATCCTCACGATTGTTCTTATGTTTGAGCCTATTATTGCAGCCACATGTCAACCCATCTTGTCTCGAGGATCTGCCTCTTTTCCCTGTCCCTCTACTCTACCAAGCATGACGTCCTTCTCCATGGACTGCCATGGAGCCATCCTTGCCTCCAAGGAGCATTCTGGCTGTTCTGTTTCCAGAACGGATTTCTTGGTTCTTCTGGCAGCCCGTGGTACTTTCAATCAATCGTCTTCACCAACACCCTAATTCAAATGCATCATTCCAGCCTCTGTCTTCCCTACTCGGTGTTCAACATTCACATGCCTAGGAGGCGGCGTCAGATGCACCTTAATCCTCAAAGTCCTGTCCTTGCTCTTCCAACACTGAAGAGGTCTTGTGCAGCACATTGACCCAATGCATTGCATCGTTTGATCTCTTGACTGCTGCTTCCAGGAGCACTGGTTGTGGCCCTAAGCAAGACAAATTCCTTGACATCTTCAATCTTGTCGCCACTTAGCGTGATGTTACCTAGTTGGTCCAGTTGTGAGGATTCGGGTCTTCTTTACATTGAGTTGTAATCCATACTGAAGGCTGCAATCCTTGATCTGCAACAGCAAGTGCTTCAAGCCCTCCTCCCTTTCAACAAGCAAGGCTGTGTCATCTGCATATCGCACATTTCCAGACCCCCCCACCCCCAACACCGGTCACAGGATGACTTGTCTCACAAGCATAGACAAGGTCCTACTGCCATCTGGTGACCAAGATGGGCACAGCAGGCCCGCAGGCCACAGGTTCAGCTCTCAGACTTCCCAGGGGTGGGGCTTGAGAGAACCCTACAGGCCTCAGCATTTGGACAAATAGTGCTCCCCCCTCACAAGACCCCCTTGCTCCTCCCCCTGACCCCCCATGCAGCCCTCGCTCACTCTTTCTCTTTTTGGAGTAGGAAGAAGGAAGACCTGGTGGTGGTCAGCGCACCGCCAGGCCAGCCCCTCGCAGGGAGGTTCCAGTTGGTACAGCAGTGGGTAGAAGGCAGAGAGGACGGGACATTCTAGAGATCAGAGGTCAGGCCTCCAGATGACCACCACGGACAGAGACCTGCACCCTCGCAGCTCTGAGCCCAGCCCACTCAGACTCAGTTTCCTTGCCACCAGATGTGGGAAATGCCACAGTGCTTCCTGGGAATGTTGTGGCATTTTCTCCACAGAAGGAGACAGGGACATTTTCTGTGTGGTCTCCAAGGAGCCTGGACCCTGGGGCATCTGCACATCTAAAGGAAGCCTGCCTCATTTCCCACGGGTGTGGCTAGATAGACAAATGCAAGCCTGACCGGAGAGTGGTCCAGTGGTAGAATTTGCTCCTCCCACACCAGAGTCTGGCCATTTCACCTCATGTGCAGCCACCCTGAGCTGGCCAGTGGAGGCTTTCAGGTTGCCAGGATGCTGAAGGGGTTTCTGCGGAACATGCAGAATAAGACTTGGCAGAAAGGCCTGGCAATCTCCTTCCAGAAACCAGCCAGGGAAAAACCCTGTGGATCACGCATGACCAATCACAAGGCTGGCGCCGGGCCAAACAGCGTTTGATTCCGGTTGTGAGTGGGGTCATCTGTTGTTAGTCTGAGGCCCAACTCAACAACCAGCCTCCTCACCTGCAGCCCCACCCCCCAAAGTCAAGGAACAAACTGAACCCACAGCTACTAGCCCGAATCCACCAGTGGAGACAGGTCATCTCTCTCCCAGGCCCCCGAAGGCACAGTGGACACCATTGCGTGCTGTGCCTAAGAAAGGTGGCCATCTGGTTGGAGTAGGCAGAGGGCCATCCAGGCTCTCTGGGGCCTGAAGCTGAAGGCAAAGGCTTGTGTGGTTCTGTGGACACTCCACCCAGTGTGGGGTGGACACGTCTCCAAAGGAGGGCAGGTGGGTGGCCACAGCCACCACGGGCATTTGTCTTTTACTGAGCCATGCCTTGCTTCTTAAATGAATAGCTAAATCAAAGGTCCTTCTGAACAGGAAAGAGGCCCAGGTGCTAACCAGTAAAAGGCTGGAGGTTCGGAGGCCACCCAGCAGCGCCTAGAAAGCAGCCGTGCAATCTACTTCCCCCAAACCAGCCTTAGCAGACCCTGTGGAACACAGCTTACTCTGACCCACAGGGGGCAGCCAGGAACCAGAATCAATGTAGGGGCTTCCTGGCCGCCAGCTGCTCCAGCCCAGGACGCTGGCGGAGCCCATGGAGTTGGGTGCATGGCGGGTGCACGAGTGCGAAGGGAGTCTGACATGCCGCCCCCTCCCCTCCCCCCAGAGGCTTCGGACGGAGAACCGGCTCCTGAAACAGCGGATCGAGACCCTGGAGAAGGTGAGGGGCGTGGCCACCACCCGTCGGTGGTGCTGAATCTGCACCTCCTACCCCACAGCCGCCAGGGGTCCAGCCCGCCCATGCCCCCGCCCTTGAACTGTGAAGAATCCCATTGAGATCCGGCCCCCTGACTTTCGAGCCTAGGCACTGTAATTCAGTTGGGGTTCCGTCCATCACCCAGGCTGCAGGGATGGGGGAGGCGGCTGAAGTGCGGCAGGAAGGGGGGGCGGGGGAACCGAGCACCAAGGCCCAGCCTGCAATTTGGGAGTCTCAGCCCCACCCCACCCCAACCCCGAAAGAAAATGAAAAGGCCGAGTAAAGGAAGAGGGGGCGGACCTGCCACTTTCCTCAGTCTAGACGCCCAGCCCCTCCCACTTCCTGGGAGGTGGGTCATCCCTGTCACTTGACCTTCTGCTGACCACGGAAGTGAGGTCGTCTACTGCCCCTGGCCCCAAGCTCCGGGTTTCCCACTGGCGTTCCGGGCACCGAGGCCGTCCGCCCGGACCAGGGGCGCCCCTCTCTGGGACAGACTGGCTGTGGCTTCGCCCTCCTCTGGCCGCTCCCGCCGGGTCTCCAGTCTTCTGCTTCTAGAGATAGCCCACCGCGTAGTGACCCGCCTTCCTGTCTGTCTCTTCTCCCTCCTGCCCCGCCTTCCGTTCGCTCTGCTCCTCCCCCTGTCGCTCGCTCGGACCCCCTCCACCCGGTAGGAGAGCGCCGCTCTGGCTGATAGGTTAATCCAGGTACTGTAGCTTTTTGTCTCCCTCGCCGCTCCCTTCCTTCCTACCCTTTTTGCCCCTTACACGACAGCCAGTCACCGCCTGGATCCTGGCCGCTGCCATTCCAAGGGGATGGGGGCAGGCCTGGCGCTGTGCATGGGGGCAGCTGGGGATGCTTTTCAGGGGAGCCAAAGGCCTTCGAGGGGGGCGTGTGAAACGGAGAGGAAATGTGGCGTGGGGGGTGAAGGGTCACGGAAAGCCTCCTTCTTCCGGACAAGAGTAGGGACCACCGAGGGCTGGGTACCTTCAGAGAGTGTCAGCCCCAGACCCTGCTGTGTGCACTTTCCCACCACACACACTCATCACACACAAACACACTCACCCTCATATGCATACATTCTCATTCATGTACACGGGCCCACTCACACATACATTATGACACGTTTGCACAATCACATGTACTCCCATGCTCACACCCCTACTCACTCTCAATCACACTCATACATTACATGCATCTTCATAGACTCACATACACACGCACTTGCATATGCACACACGCACTCATGCATATTCATGCTTGCACGCTCACCCATTCAACAAGTTCCCCACGGGCCCTCACTCACACAGCGCCCCCTCTTGGCCTTTCATGCGGCTCTTGGTTTCTATTGCAAGGCCTGGCCTCCTCTCACTCACCTGCTTCTGCTCCGCCTCACCTCTCATCTCCAATGGCTTTAACCTTTAAAGCTTTCACCCAACCCCTAATGGCCCCGAGCCTGGAATGGGGGACTCAGACAGGGAGGAGGGAGGCGATGAGGCTGTGGGGAGGCCAGGGAGAGGGGTCCCACCTGCCAGCCCAGCCTCCACTGAGACCCTACCCCCACCCATCCTCTGAGGGGGCTGAGTGAGCATAGAGGTGCCCTGCGCCTGCCTGGGGAGGGCTTGGTTCACCTCCCCTGGGTTTGGCCCTGGAAGGAGTGCCCTGCCCGCCCCCACCCAGGGTAGGCTGGAACCTCCCCATCCCGGGCTCTGACACCCTCACTGCCGCCCCCTCCTCTAGCCCAGACTTTCTTGTCCCCCTCCCACCGATGCAAGGCCAGGGAGACCCACAGAGGGTCACCCCCTCTCCTCTGTGTTCAGGGACAGGTGACACGGGCGCAGGAGGCTGAGGAGAACTATGTCATCAAGCGGGAGCTGGCAGTGGTGCGGCAGCAGTGCAGCTCGGCCACCGAGGACCTGCAGAAGGCGCAGAGCACCATCCGGCAGCTGCAGGAGCAGCAGGTACCCTGGCCGTCAGGACTCTCCACAAACTCGGCATAGACTTCCCCCCTGACCCCTGCCCACAGTGAGGACCCTGAGTCAGGGGATCTTGAACTCCAGTTCTGTCACCCAGCCAAAGGGGACACAGCACCGACCCCGAGGACTTCCCTCACCACCAGCCAGATCTTTGGGGACCCAGGCAACACCCTAAGTTCAGAGAGCCCATCACTCTTGGGCCCTGCAGGACACCTGGCACAAGGCCTCGGCTGACAGGGCTGGGAGCCCTCCGTGGGAGCCCTGTCATCACCCCAGGGCTCAGGGGCCAGGTCTGTTGGACAAGTCAGAGATGTTTTAAAGCCATGCCCCCCACTCCCCCAAGTGGCCAGCACCCTGGTCTGCCCCGAGGTAGGGTACACCCTTAGGCCCCATGAGAAGAGTGGCCCATACCACACGGCAGGGGTCGAGCGGCCTTGGGTTCTCCCAGAGGGCCCTGGGGGAGGAGCTTCCCAGCTTGAGCCAGGACCACCATCACCGTGGACCAAAGAGCTGTGACATGCGGAGGCCCTTACCCAGGAAGTGAGGGCCACAGGGAGCTGGGGCAGGGCCACCCAAGGTGTCATCCAGAGAAGACACAACCACCACGGTAGCTACGACTGCCACCCCGGGGACCTCCCACCCATCACTCCTGGGCTCCCACCTCTAAGCACAAGAGCGGTCCTGGCAAACTTCTCCCACCACCCGTTGGCGGCCAGAGGAAGGGAAAGTTGGAGGAGGGAGATGGGGTGAACTGGACAGAAGCAAAAAGCATGTGCTTGTGCGCAGCCCCGCCCCGGCCGAGGCTCCACCCCCACCCACGGGGAGCAAGGCCTCCAAGGACGACCCATGCGAAGCCCCCTTCAGAACATCCCCTAGCGTGGCTTGTCCAGAAAAGAGGCTGTACCAGGACTCCTGGGAACCCACTGACAGACTCCCTGTGGGGTTCTGCGCCGCCCCACATCTACCCCGAGGGCGGGATTCACAGGAAGGATCCTCTCCCCGGGGCTGGTGGTTTCTGCAGTGCCCAACCCCGAGCCCTGCTCCCAGCCCAGGGCCTCCAGGGAGGAGGTCAAGGCCTGAGCCTGCAGCGCTGCCCTCTGCCCACCCAGGAGAACCCGCGCCTCACCGAGGACTTCGTGACGCACCTGGAGACAGAGCTGGAACAGTCGCGGCTGCGGGAGACGGAAACGCTGGGGGCGCTGCGGGAGATGCAGGACAAGGTTCTGGACATGGAGAAGGTGGGCCTTGGGGGCGCTGGGCAGGTAAGCGGGGAGGAGGTGCAGGACAAGGCCCTGGGCATGGAGAAGGTGGGCCTTGGGGGCGCTGGGCAGGTAAGGGGGGAGGAGGTGCAGGACAAGGCCCTGGGCATGGAGAAGGGGCAGCCAAGTGGGCCAGTTGGGGGTCTTCTGAAGTTAGAACCTGTCCCCATGCAGAGAGTTGGTCTGCTGAGGCCAGAACCCCGGACCCAGCCTGGACACATATTCATCCCTGGCCCCTACATCCATACCCTTCAAGCCCATGGGACACGGCAGCCCAGGCTGACTGCCAGCTGGTCCCCAGGCAGGGGACAGCATGCAGCACTGTCTGCAAGTGTGCCAGAGTGGCCCATGCTCTTCACATCTGCCGGGGTCACACCTGCTGCTCTGCCTCGCCAGTGGCCTCATGCAGCCTGGGGCTCCAGATGGAGCCCCGTGAGGGCGAGGGGAGGGTCTCAGTCCGGCCAGAAGGGCTACCGCTGCCCTGGGCTCAGGCGCCTCTCCCCGTAGAGGAACAGCTCGCTGCCGGACGAGAACAACGTGGCGCGGCTGCAGGAGGAGCTGAAGGCGCTCAAGGTGCGCGAGGGCGAGGCGGTGGCAGCTGCGCGGGAGCTGAAGCTGCAGTTGCAGGAGCTGTCTGACACCTGGCAGGTGAGAGCCGGCCCCTACACACACACACACACACACACACACTCAGTCCCAGCCCTTCCCCATGGTGCCCGGCCAGACCACCGTCCCTCCCCGCAGGCCCACCTGTCCCGGGGCGGCCGCTGGAAGGAGTCCCCGCGGAAGCTGGTCCTGGGCGAGCTGCAGGACGAGCTGATGAGCGTGCGTCTGCGCGAGGCTCAGGCTCTGGCCGACGGCCGCGAGCTGCGGCAGCGCGTGGTGGAGCTGGAGACACAGGTGGGCCGTGTGCGGGCTATCCGCGGGTCCCAGGAGCTGGGGCCTAGTGGCCACCGCCCTAGCCGGAGCCCTGACCCCTGCACACGGCCCATTCTCCCGCAGGACCACATCCACCGTAACCTGCTGAACCGCATGGAGGTGGAGCGCACGGGGCTGCAGGAAAAACTGCAGTACTTGGGGGCGCAGAACAAGGGGCTTCAGACCCAGCTCAGCGAAAGCCGCCGCAAGCAGGCCGAGGCCGAGTGCAAGGTGCTGCCCTCGTCCCCACCGCCCCTGGCCCACGCCCCCTGACCGCTCTGACCGCGCTTTTTCCCTCTACCCCAGAGCAAGGAGGAGGTGATGGCCGTGCGCCTGCGGGAGGCAGACAGCATGGCGGCAGTAGCGGAAATGAGGCAACGCATCGCCGAGCTAGAGATCCAGGTGGGTGCTGGGAAAGCTGCGAGGGGGACAGGGAGGGTTAGCGGGCAGGCCCCAAGGTGGGCCCTGCCCTGACTGTGGTGCCCCGGCCACCTGCAGAGGGAAGAGGGCCGCATCCAGGGCCAGCTGAACCACTCCGACTCGTCGCAGTACATCCGTGAGCTCAAGGACCAGATCGAGGAGCTGAAGACGGAGGTGAGAGGCTGCTGCGATGGCGGGCTGGGCCAGACCTGGTTCCCCCAGCCGCCATGCCTCCTCAAGCCCGCGCTTGTCCCCCCCCGGCCCAGGTGCGGCTGCTGAAGGGCCCGCCGCCCTTCGAGGACCCACTGGCCTTCGACGGGCTGAGCCTGGCGCGGCACCTGGACGAGGACTCGCTGCCCTCGTCGGATGAGGAGCTGCTGGGCGTGGGCGTGGGCGCGGCGCTGCAGGACGCGCTCTACCCGCTGTCCCCGCGCGACGCACGCTTCTTCCGCCGTCTGGAGCGGCCTGCCAAGGACAGCGAGGGCAGCTCGGATAGCGACGCTGACGAGCTGGCCCAGCCCTACAACCAGGGCCTGGAGAACTGAGGCTGGGAGCCAGGGGGTTTCCCCCACGGCCGCCTCCCAGGGCCACGCCCACCCCGGAGGCCAGGCGGGTGGGCTGAGCCCAGTGGGGTCCTCAGGATCCCTTGGCTGGTCTCCCTCGCAGCAGTGTTTACCCATCTGGGTCCGCACCCTCGGGGCCAGCCACCAGCGACAGCAGAGGGGCGACCCAGAGGCCCTGTCTGGCGGGACAGAAGCTTACTCCCAGGATAAAGGAGGCCCTGCCGGGAAGGGCCCAAGAACCCTAGACAGGAGGGGCGCCTCTGGGCTTGAAGTTGCTCCCAACCACCAATGCCCCTCAGGACACGGGGACCCTTGACCAGCCCCTGGCACCTGGGGACAGATGGCTGGTTGGGCTTCCTTGCCTAGGGCAGGCTTCATGGCCCCTGCAGCAGAAACCAAAGCCCCTCTTACTGTGTTAGGGCCCCCTGGACATGAGCGGGCTAGGAAAGCCTGGGCAGGACCTCTGCCGGCTTGAGGGGGCGGGGCCAGAGCAGCTGCCCAGAGGGAAGAAGCCCCACCCCTCACCCCACCCCTGCCTCCAAGACACTCCCATCATCTCCCCGCCCCTTTTCTGCCAGTGAGGGAGGCAGCCCTGCCAGCACCAGGCTCTCCAGGGCATCCTTCCCATTGCCCCTCCCCCTATCCCACCACCAATCCAGTGAGGCTGCTGAGTAGAGCCACGTCATGCACCGCCTACTGCCTCGCGGTGGACCGGAGGTCTCTGCCTAGTCAGAGCTGAGAACGGTGCCAAAGTCCAGCGACGCCCTTAGCCCCACCCCACCCTCCGCCCCCTCCCCACCAATCTCCTCTCCCCCGGGCCTCGTGACCCTCGGGACTGCCCCTCGGTGCTCCTGGAGCCTCGAGTCGCGTCACAAGCAATCTCCCTGGCGCTCCCGGGGTGGGATCCATGCGTAGTCCCCTCCCTGGTCGCCAACTCCTCAGTGTTAACGCCTGGGGACACTGCCCACCACCATTTTGCACACTGCCTGTTCACACGCCACATGTCGCCCAGGCGGGAAAGATGGAAAATAAAGTATTCACACAGTCGTGGACGAGGGGAACCAAGTGGAGCAGGCCTTGAGGGGAGGGGACCCACCGTAGGGGAGCGCCCCCCAGGTCCTGGGCCAGCATTGGGGTATCCTTATAGTGCCTCAGAATGGAGGGGCCAACTAGAGTCACAGCATGAGGGCCGTAATGGCTACTGGGAACGAAAAATATGCCATAGCCCAGTGGTTCTCAACGTTCCTAATGTTGCGACCTTTTCATACAGTTCCTCATGTTGTGGTGATCCCCCAACCAAAAAATTATTTTCGTTGCTACTTCATCACTGTATTTTCCTACTGTTATGAATCAGGCGACCCCCGAAGGGGTTGAGACCCACAGGTTGAGAACCGGGGCCTTAGCCACATGTAAGCAAAGGTGGGAGGTAGAGAGCTAGTATTGGGGAAAACAGGGCCCAGAGGGCCGTGGTCTGGAAAACACAGCATAGTACTTTGGAAGGGTGGTGGTAAGATGGTGCGGATTTAAAGGGAGGGGGGCTCATGACTGCCCACCTGGGCCTTCCCAGGAGACACACCATAATGGGCACTTACCACAGTCACTGCAGTGTGGTAAGTGCCCCGTAGGTGTACAGGGAAGGCTCCCTGGAGCAGAGAGTGCAAAATCAGAAGGGTGCAGGACAGAGGCTAGCCAAGGAGGGACAGGAGAGAGTGGACAAGGCCGGACCCAGAGGATCCAACCAGGAGCAAAAGCTGGCACTTTGAGGGCGGTGGGGAGTCCGTGCCAGATGTACAGGAGGGTCTCTATCAGATGGGACGCAGGGCTGGACCAGTGAGGAGGCAGGGCCAAGAGCTTGCAGAAACAGTGAGTCGGGACTGGTAGGAGGCTGAAGGGGCAGCGCTCTGTGTGCCCCCACACCCCATAGAGCAGCAGTTCTCAACCTGTGGGTCATGGCCCCTTTGGGGGTCGAGCGACCCTTTCACAGGGGTTGCCCAATTCATCACAGTAGCAAAATGACAGTGATGAAGTAGCAACTGAAATAAGTTTATGGTTGGGGGGTGGTCACCACAACATAGGAACTGTATGAAAGGGTCGCGGCATTAGGAAGGTTGAGACCCACTGCCCTAGAGTGTCTAGGGATGGTAAAGGAGGCTGGGGCTTCAGGTAGGTGTGGTGGTCCCTACCCTCTGCACCCAGTGTGACCCACACAGGGCCCCTCCCTGTGCTGTCTGATATCTGCAGACCAGCAACAAACAGCCACGTCTTAGGAACTGTGCTAGCACACTTGCAGCTCCTGTGGGCTCCGGCACCAGTCCCAGCAAGCATATTTCACAGCCTGGGCTCGTGTGTCCCTCTCCTGTTCCCACGGAGGAACTCCACAGCACTGGCTCCCAGGATGGGAGTCTCAACCGAGACCTTGGCCTGCTCATCACAGGGCCTGTTGCCTGGCCTTGAAGCCAGGGGTCTGGGGTCTGGGGCCCCTGGGTTCTCCCGGAGCCCAGCTGGAGCAGAAACGTCTGTTGGATAGCATGCTGAGCCCCAGCTGATTCTCAATACAGGTGGCAGTGCCCACCAGGGCCAGGACTCTTTCTTCTCAAACCCCAGACTGGAAGGTGGTCATGTCTAGGGAGAAACTGGTTCTTGGGAGAGACAGAGTCCTGCTTTTAGCCTTTCACCAGCCACCCTGGAGGTCGCGGTCTCTGCCTTGCCGCCATCATTTTGCATGCCAAGCTGGAGAGCCTCAAGGCTTCCTACAGGGGCACTTAAGGCAGAGGGAGCCCCTGACAAGAGCTTGAGGGGCACAAGGATCAAGGGGGCTAGGCTGGGAGGAGGGACAAGGAAGCTGGGCTGGGCAGCAGGTTGGTTTGAGGGACTGGGGAGGATGCCTGATGGTAGACGGGATAAGAATGCCAGAGTGCAGGTGGAGGTGGAGGCTCCTGAGGACCACAGATGGTGGACCCCTGAAGATGCCTGGTTGGAGAGCCCTGAAGGGAACACCTGGAGTTGGGTGCTGGCCACACCCAAAAAGGAAGGGCAGGAGACGGCTCCCTGATCTCCCCCTGATCTCCCGTTTAGCCATAAGGGAGGCCGCTTCTTCCCTGCAGGCCCTCCTGGGACAGTGGGCTGGCCGCCGGACGGGTCCCTGGCCCCACAGAGGGCCTCAGGCCAGCTGGCCTCCAGAGTCCACCCAGAACTGGGAAAGTTCTAAAGGGGTTCAGGGGGAAACGGAGCCCAGAGGACGCCTTCTCCTCTCCCTCCCTGGGCTCTTTCCTCCAGACCTGACTAGCAGTGCCAGACAAGGGGGGTGTGCCCTGTGAATAAGAGTCTCATGCCCTCCTCAGGAGCATCAGCTGCTCTATGCCACACTGTGGTTGCAAGTCTATGTGGCCCCCTCCCTCCCAGGCCCTTTCTGCACCAAGAATTGTCACCAGAATTCGGACATATTCACGCAAGTCGGTGGGGGAACCATGCAGGACAGGGCCCCTGCCTCACATGCCCCTTCTTTTGCACAGGAGAAAGACCTTCAGCCAGAACTCCGAGAACATCTGGCCTGGCCCCACGCTGCCCCAGCCCCTGTACCAACACCGAAGGCAGAGGTCCAATGTACTGGCTTTATTGTAAACTCGGGCTGCGCAGGGAGCAATACACCGGGCACAGAGCGGGGCTCGAAGGAGCGGGATGTGTCCTAGGTCAAGGAGGCAGAGCGAGAGGGGTGAGCCTGGGCCAAAAGACTAGGGTCAAAAAGGCCGAGTGCAATGGGCTGAGGGTGAGGTCTATGTCTTAAGAGGGGTGGCTAGGGCAGGCCCTAAGGTAGGTTGGGCACAGGAGACGGGGTCAGGATCTGGCTCAGTGGAAGGTCTCCACCTCCACCACCGTCCAATCACCTTGCGGGGAGGCCACGTCGTCCGGGGAGAAGCTAGTGACCGAGGTGATGCTGGCCCGGGACTCGTCCAGTGGAGACAGCAGCTCGGCCCAGCGGCCCAGTTCGGCATCGCTGAGCGCAGCCCGGGCGCCTCCCGCGCCGCTGCCCCCGCCTGCGGCTCCTGAGTCCCTGCCTCCACCACCTGTCGCCCCCTCAGTCGCCGCCAACAGCAGCGTTCGGCTCAGTAGGTGCTGCACGACGCTGGCCTGCAGAGCCCCCAGCGGTAGCTCGCCCAGGCGAGCTGGCTTGGGGCTCCGCGGGGCAACCCCGGTCACCACTGCAGCGGCCGCCGCTGCCGCAGCCTTCCCACCACCCGCGCCCGCACCCGGATCCAGAGAGCCTGGGACTGGGGGTGCCGTCTCAGGTCCGTCAGCTTCGTAGATGGTGCACAGCCCGTCGGCGGAGCCAGACCCTGCAACAGGTGGCCACTGCAAGGGCGCTCCTGCGGGAAGGGGCGTCCGCTGAACCCAGGGCGCGGAGAGCCCCGCCCAGTCTCCAGACCACGCCCCTGTGTTCGAGGGCCCACTTCCGACCCCCGCCCACAGCTGAGTGGTGGCCAGCCCGGTCGCTCACCTGGGGCACAGCGACCAGCCAGTGATGCTGCTGGGCCTCGGCTCCAAGCGGCCGGGTGACAGGCAGCCAATTCCGCGTCGGCGGGCGGAGAGACCGCAGCGCTGCCCTCAGGCCCACTGTCGTAGCCTCGCAGTTCTTCGGGTGTGCTGGTGGCACTGCTGCTGTGGCCCGCCAAGTCTGGACCACTCAGCGTGCTGGACGGGCTGCGCGAGGGCGGCGGCGGTGGTGCTGGGTTCAGCGCTAGGGTCAACCGTGGGCCGGGGTTCGGAGTATCGGGACCCGGGGTCGGGGGACGGCGCAGGGCCAGTAAAGG